GGGCCCCGGGGCAGGCAGGGGGCCCGGCGGCCTCCCGGCGGGCCCCGGTCAGGCAGCAGGCCCTGCAGGCCAGCGTGTGCACAGCCAGGCTTACCCATAGCCCGCCATGGAGACAGGCCGGTGCCTGGTGCAGAGTAAGCGCCTGTGTTGAGCAGAGTAAGCGTCTGTGTTGAGCATCGGTGGAGCCGGGCGGCCCACCCCTGCTGAGCAGCCAGCCGGCGGCCGTGACGTCCGCTCTTGGTTGATGGCTTCGGTCCTTTTCCCTGCCTTCCTGTGGGCCTGGAGAGGGCCGGGGTCTCCCTCGTCTCCAGGCCTGTGGTGCTCAGAGCACAGTAGGTGTCCAGGAGAACCCCCAGTGGGGTCCTGGTGGGCCCATGGAAAGCCTTCCTGGCCTCGAGAACCCCGCCTGGGTGAGGGTGGGGCTGGTCAGGCAGGGCGGCCTCCCTCTCCCCACAGCCCTGTTGACTGGCACACACACAGTTAACCATGTCCACACCGCCCGCTCAGCCGTCATCTGGTTTGGTTTAAATGAAGCTCCCTGGAGGACAAGGACAGGAGGGGGTGGCCGGCTGGCTTGTTTTTCCTGGCTTCCCGCCTTGGCCCATCTCGCCAGCTCAGCAGAAAACTGCTCGCTCTGGCCCGACTCCAGGCTTGCGAAGCAGCCAACCAGGGTTCCCCTGAAAGAAGAGACATCACTGATAATTAACGAGGCCCCCAGCCCCCTGAGGGTCCTTTGGGGAGACCTGGCCAGGGCACAGAGGGGGCCTGGGGTGAACGCGGGCATCTTGGGAGACTCCTGAGCCCAGCCCCACACCACAGCCCTCTGAGCCAGCTGCGGCCCTCCAGGGCCCTCCGACCCTGATGACCTGCTCCTGGAGACCCAGACCCCTCCTGGGGGGGGGGATCTGAGGAGCACACCCCACTCCCCGCCCTGCCCACCCCACCCTGGCTTCTGCATCAGCAGCGCTGTCTCTGGGAAGGAGTAGTTCGGGTATAGGGGTGCGCAGCCCTGCACGGCTGCTGGGGCAGGGATCCTCAGGACGCGAGGCCTTGGGAAGAGGCTGCCCAAGTGCAGAGTGCAGACGCAGGGCCAGTGGGCCTGCTGGAGTCCCCCACCTCTGCTTGGAGGGCACCCGTACCCCCCACCCTTTTCGGCCATCCTTTATCTTTCATCCCTGTGCAGACTCTGCTGTCCCGCCACTGAAGCCAGAGGTGTCGTGGGTGTTCAGTGCATTGTAGGGCAGCCGTGGCCTGGTGGTTATGGCGCTGGGTCCCACACGGCCAGCCACACAGTCTGAGCCCCAGACCTGGCAGCTCGAGAAACGCCTACACGTGTGTGTGCTCCGATCCCTCCCAGAAAGGAGGGGATGTGGAGAAGGTTGTGGCGCATTCCCGGGGTTTGTGTCCTCTTTCTCTAGGGAGCGCAAGCCCTCTGGCAAAAAAAAAGGAGTAAGATCCTGCCGCCCTAGGTCCAGCCCATGTCCCTGTCGCCCGCAGAGCCCCGTCAGCCCGCCCCAGCCCGCCCCAGTCCTGCCAGCCTGTGGCCCTTCCTTCAGGGTCTGGCGCTTCCCCCTCACTCTGCCCTTGGCTGTTTTCTGCGATTACCGTGTAGACACCCCTCCTTTCTCCTGCAGGCTCAGCATCGGGGTCATGCACTACAGACCAGGTTCGGGAGGCTTTGGCCACCGGGTGTCAGGGCAGAGGGTGGGCGAGTCCCCTGCCCTCACCTGCACAGGCCTCACCGCTGCTCTCCTGCAGGTTCGCCAAGCTCCTGCTACGCCTGCCCGCCTTGCGCTCCATTGGGCTCAAGTGCCTGGAGCACCTCTTCTTCTTCAAGCTCATCGGGGACACACCCATCGACACCTTCCTCATGGAGATGCTGGAGGCCCCACACCAGATGACCTAGGCCTGCCCGGACGCCCACTGCTCTCCTCCTGAGCCCCATCCCGCCCTTCCCTCCTGGCCTGCCCGGGCCTCTGGGCACAACTTGGCCCGCTCTGCCCAGGAGCTGCGCTGGCGTCCTCGTTCCATTCCGACCTGCTTTGGCCCAGGGCAGTGGCTTTACTGGAGCAGCGGCCAGAGTGGCCAGAACTGGTGTGAGACCCGGCCAGGGCTCACCCCTCGGGTTCTTGCGGAAGCCCTGCTGGCACCTTGGGGGGCTTAGGTGGCTACGGGGTCTTCAGGCCCCAGCCCTGGAGCTGCAGGAGGGGGAAGGGAGGCTTTGTTTGGTTGCTGTTCATTGTTGCTGGTTTTCAGACTTTCTGGCCCTCCTCTGATGGGAGGGCCCCTCCGCGCCTGCTCTGAGCACTGGTGCGGCCAGGAGGGCTGGCGGGCTGGCGACGTGGCAGGCTGGTGTTTGATGTGAGGGAAGGTGGGACCCTGGGTGGGCAGCTCCCCTGCGCTCAGAGTGAAGGGTGAGCCGCCCCCTTTTCCAAAGATAACTTGTGACTTCGCCCCAAACTGGTGACATGAGCCAACCTCTGCGGGGTTGTGGGGCCACCCCGGCCCCACCTTGCTTTGCTCTACACCATCCCCCTGGTTTCCGCTTCTCCTCTGTGGTCTCATCTGGTTGAGGTGCCTGGGCCACAGCACCCTGGTCTCGCCCACCGCACCTTCCCTGCTGCGGGCCTGGAGGACCAGCTCCGTCCTGGGCATTGGTGCTGCAGGGGCCTCACCGAGGCTCACGGGCCATGCCCTGTGTCTGCTGCCGACCTCGTGGCCGACTTGGCCACTGGAGGGCCGCTGGCTTGTCCCCTGCAGGGACGCCGAGGGATTTGGGTGAATGAGCCATGGGCAGGGGCAGAAGCGACCGGGTCCTGGAGTGACTCCTGGGCACCGCCTGGGCTCCTGCCAGGCCTCCTTCTCCGTCCCACTGCCTGGTTCTGTCTGGAAGACTGAGAACCTGAGAACCGTTGTGTCCCAGCATCCTTGGGCCTAGGCCCCCTGGCCCTCAGGACCACCGGCCTGGTTGTTCGCGTCACTCACACAGAGCCTTACATGGCAGCCCCACTGGGCCCACCCTGGTGAAGGCTGCAGGCTTCAGCCCAGCGGCTTCCTCACCCCCCTGCCCTGGGGCTGCATGGCAGGGTCTTGGGGTGAGCAGGCCTCTTGCACCACAAGGCCCTCCCTTTGGCCCATGGATCTGGCATTTGCCAATGGCAGATGCCTGAACAGGAGTGGTCGACCATGTGTGGGGGGTCTGCTTTTTTTAGAAGCAGTTCAGAAATGGGGGAGTGGGCTGCCTTCACTCCATCTGGCACCGAGGTGTCCTTGGGAGTGGGAGAGGCAGTGACTGGGAGAGGTGGGGCTCGGGCTTCAGAGGCACCTGGGCGGAGGCTGCAGCCGAGTTTGTGCTTGAGCCAGAGGCTGTCAGAGTCCAGAAACATCTCTGCCCCACCTGCCTTTCAGTGAGGTGGCTTGGGAGAGCTGTCCCTGCCTGCCTGATCTGCTGTCCTGAGGCGGGGATGGGGCCCAGGTGAGCCTTTTCTGTGCAGGGCCTTCGACAGCCGTCCCTCACCCAGGCTCCTCCAGGGGTCCAGGCAGCCAGTGGGCTGGGGTAGCAGGCAGTGAGGCCATGTTCTCGGGCACCCCTGCTCCCTGGTGGGGGCTAGGGACCCGCCACACCCACACCTGGTGCCTTGAGCAGCCGTTGCACCTTCCTCCAGCACAGTCCCGGCCTTGCACCGTGCCCACCAGAGGAGGAACCCAGGGGTAGGCCTCTGTTGCAGGGGTCGGCCCTCACAACCTTGCCCTGCGGCCATGGGTGGCCATGTCCACAGCACTGAGGCCCGCCCAGTGCCACCTCCCCAAACCAGGACCCTGCTCTGCCCGCACAGCCTTACCCGCTGCCCACGTCACCTTAGCCCCTCCCATGGGGTCTCGTGCTCCTTGCGTTTGTCTTGTCGTTGTCATCTGTACAGCGCTGTCTGTGGAAGGTGACCCGGGAAAACGGCACATTGCTCAGTAGAGAGGTAGAATTTGTATTTAACCAGACCGTCGGTTGTATTCCAATCTGGTTCAATTAAGGTGATCTTTTTGTAATTATTATTGTTATTATTATTTTGGTGGGACAATCTTTAATTTTCTAAAGATAGCACTAACATCAGCTCCTTAGCTGCCTCAGCCCAGCTGGATGGAGGGCTCCCTCTCGGTGTCTCCTCCCAGCCACTGCTTCCTGGCCCTGGGCCCTGGGCCTCGGACACTTGCTCAGCTGTCACCTCCCTGCTTGGGCCCCTGCGGCTGAGGAATGAAGACCCTGCAAGGCCGGCCCTGCCCCTCCCTGTTGGGGAGCTTGGAAGACACCTACCCAGACCGTTCCCGGGTGGCCTGTGCTCTGGCTGGCCCGTCACCTGGGAGCGTGCGGTCTCTGGGAACGAGGCCCCACCCTTGGTCTCCCGCCACGGGGCCGGCAGAGCGAGTGCCTGCGGATAACAGCTGGGGTTGCGCAGCTGGAGTCGGCGTGCGGCCTGGTCGGCGCAGGGTGCTGCGCACGTGCCGTGGAGGGTGTGGAGCCGCCCGCCGTCACCACGCAGGAGACGCACGGCCGTTTCCGTGTCTTGTGTTTCTGTTTGATCAAGACCCCGCCCCCCGTTTTCCTGTAAATTTGCTTCATGTAAGCAAGTACCTGAGGACCCCTCCTCTGGTGAAATCCGGGTTCAGACGAGTATCTCGAGGTAAGGAGATGCATCTATTTTAAGATGCTGTGGAGCGAGCGCGGTGCCGGGCCAGTCTTCAGCCATGCCTTAGCTGGGCCGCGTGGCTGGCGCTGGTAGGACCTGCAAAGACGAAAGATAAGAGAAAGTGTCTAAAGCATCGGGAAAGGTAAAAAAAAAAAAAATCTATTTTTGTACAAATGTAATTTTATCCCTCATGTGTACGTGGGTGATACGCGGGGGGAGGGCTGCTCCCAGACAGGCGAGTCCTGCGGAGGTCACCCGCCGGACTGCCCTGGGGCAGCAGGGCCGGCCTGAGCTGGCTATGGGTTTCCCTCCCCTCTGAGTAGTTCCCAAGCCTCGCCTGGGCCGCCCTGGCTGCCGGGCCCTCTGCGGCCCCGACTGTGAATGCCTGCGTAACTTCTCAGCATCGCGGCCACAGGTGCCGCGGTGTGGGACGATGGTGTCCGGATTGTGGAAGAGAAACAGACGTGAGAGGGGAAACAAAATACGAGCATTTGAGACTACGGCGTGGTCCTCGTTTGTCCTGCGTGGCCGTCCTGTTTGGGTCTAGCAGTCAGTGCCCGAGGGGCTTCCCGAGCCAGGCCGCCACCCAAGTCCAGGCCTGTGCCTGGGCCATCCGCTGAGCCTGGCGGCCTCCCTGGCCCCTCTGCAGGCTCGTCGCCTGTGGCGGTACTGCTGTGGTCCCAGGGTGGCCAGCAGGCTCCTCACCAAGGGCCCCCGAGAGGGCTTTGTTCCTACGGCAGGCGCCAGGTCTGTGGCACGCGCAACGCTGTGTGTGGCTCCCGCGTCCACACTGGCCACGTTGGTAGAGGGTCACAGAAGGGAGCATCCCCACTGCCTAGTGGGTAGCGGGTCTGCGGTGCCCTCGGCCCTGTCGTGCGACACCTGTCTCCACGCTGTCTGCGACTGGAGCCCCACACCTTCGTGCACCTCCCAGCGGGTACCCTGGAGCTGGGAGCAGGGCCTGGGGCTACTCTGCTGTTGCGCCAATGGCACTGCGGCCCTCGCCCAGCTGTGTGACAGGCAGGAGCTTCCTGATGCCCTCGCCCCAAGGCCTGTGCACGGCAGTCCCACCTGCAGACATGCTCACACCCCCCACGTACCCAGGCCGTGTGTAGGCGCACTTCCGCACGCAGGCACAAGCATGCACACACACACTCATGCACATGTCAGACTTGCACACTCAGCCCTGGAGGCCCAGCAGCAGGCAAGAGGAGGTGGGGCGGGCTGAGCTGCCTCCTGCGGTGGGGGTGCCTCCGGACCCCCGCACTGACATTCTACCGTCCCCTGCATGTCAGCCACTCCCTGGGCCCTGGTGGGAGCTCTGGGAAGACAGGCAGGGGCCCGTCCAGCTGCCGATGGGCTGCTTGGCCACAGTCCACCCCACCAATCCCCACTCACGAGTCAGGGCCCGGCCTCACCCCCCAGGACCAGCTGTGTTCCTCCCAAGGGGCCCTGGGGGTGAGAGTAACTTTCATCAGACAGCACGGCCTCAGGCCACGAGGGAGGCAGGGGAGGGGTGGGAGGGGTGGTCCTGAGGCTGCCTGCCTCCTCTGCCAGCTCAACCCAGTACCCCGGCCTCGGAGGCCTGGCCCCTGAGCCGCTCTGCTTTCCTGTAATGAAGTCTCACCTGGAGGGGTTGACCCTGAGGGCTGGAGCACAGGGGGTGGCCTCCCTCCCAGGGCACTGAGTGGGCCCGTGAGGCTGGCTGCACATCCAGGGACGAGTGCTCGTGAAGTTTGCCCTGCGGATCAGGACAGGCCCTTCAGCCCCCGCGGAGCCCCCAGAGCCCCGTGACCCCAATCCAGGGACGTGAGCGGCAGGGCACGCACTGCTCCACCAGTGAGCAGGAGCCAAGCTGCCCACTGGCGGCGTGTGGCAACCTGGTCAAGGGCCTGCCTGCTGCCTCCAGTCACCATGGTGACGCCTGCCCTGGGCAGCCCCTCTGGACCCGAGGTGCTGGGCTTGATGAGTTCATCACCAGCGTCAGCAGGCAGTGACAGGCCAGCCACATAGGCTTGGGGGCTGGAACCTGGAGGCAAGGGCGGGGCAGGCCTGTGTTGGGGGAGGGGTGCAAGGAGCACGTCTGTGCCATCAGCACGCAGTGTGATGAGGGCAGGGCAAACCCCAACAGAGGGGCCCTGGCTCGGGCAGAGGACGTGTGACAGGAGCAGGCCACACAGGACACCTGTGCCAAGGACAGCAGCACCCCGGGTGGCCCCCCACGGGCAGGGCACTGAGGGAGGGAGGTGGGGGAGAGGCCCTGTGAAGGTTCCCTGAGCACCCAGAGGGGCCCACCTGTCCTGGGGGAGGGGGACTGTCCGGCTGGTGACCTCGTGGAGTGGATGGACCGTTTAACCTAGCGTTTCCGCCCATCCTTCCTCCAGCAGTGGGAACTGTACAGAGGCCCGGGAGAACCTAGAGGGAGCTTGGAAGGGGCTGCAGCCCCTGGCCCATCTCCCCACACAGAACCCCAGGAGGAAGGAGTTGGCCGAGATGAGGCCGAGGCCAGGCAGGTTCGGACTGGCCCCCAGCTCCTCCGCTGGGCCAGGCAAAAGCCTAAGCAAGAGCTTAAGGGGGTGAGGCCCTGGCACTGCGGCGAGGCAGCACTGCCACCTGCTGGGAGTGCCAGGCAAGGCTGCGCTTGCCTGCCCCTGCCTGGCCACAGGTGTCCCCTGCTCACTAGAATCACCTGAGAATTGTGCCGAGTTTGATGCCCAGGCCGCACCCCAAGGCCGTGGGCAGCAGCTGGCATTGTGGGTGGTTTGAGACATCCAGAGGTGACCCATGCAGAGCTGCGGCATGCAGAGCTGCGGCGTGCAGCCTGGCTGGGTGGGCTGGGGTGGGGGGGGCAGAGCAGCAGGGCAGAGGTAGGCGGTGGGCCTCAGTTTCCTCGTCTGCTCAAGGACAGGCTCCCCACTTCCCTGGGTTGCTGAGATGAGGGCCCCAGCCAGTGGGAGGCGCTGCGCACCGTCTTACTGCCTCATGAGGGGAGGCCGGGGGTGGGGGCTGAGACGCTCAGAAATTCTGAGCCAGGGGTTGCTCTGGGGAAGGCCAAATTCCAGGGCGTGGGGTTCAGAAGGTGGTGTCATGGCTCTCGCCCATTGGGAAGGGGACTGAGAAGGTCAGCACTGTGGCACCCTAGAAGGTGCATTCAGAGCCTCGAGGCCGGGGCAGATCAGAGCTCCCCCTGGGGAGCATGGGAGGGGCCTTTGTGGTCCACTGTCCACCCGTCCATCCAACTCTCCGCCCAGCAGCTGTCACCAGGCCCTGCCCTGAGGCACTCCAGCTACCCCACCAGGAAGGCAGACATGGCAAGGCGGGAATGTGGGTACTGGCGTCTGGACCGGGGGTGGGACTGACCCAGCAGCTGGGGCGCAGGAGAGGGAGCCCCGTCCTCCAGGGCAGCTGGCCAGAGCCGGGCTTTCCCCGTCATCCTCCCGTCAGCAGTTGACAAGGCCGGGCCAGCCCACCTGGAGGAGCAGGGTCACCTTCCCAGCGTGGGGAAGCCAGCCTGGGAGGGGCAGAATGCCTCCCGGCCTGTCCTCCATTGCAGACCGGAGTCCGTGGTGAGCACCATGTGGAGGCTTGGGAGGTCACACGGGCTGAGCCCTCACGGGAAGCAGTCACCACCTCGCCCAAGAGGAGTGTGTCGTAGCTCGGTAAGAAACGTGACCGGAGCCGAGGAGGAGGTGCTGCTCAGCGTCGGTCCAGGCCTGGGCTCTCAGGCCAGCGCTCTAGACAAGAGCAGGTACCAGGGCCTGCCTTTAGGACCTTCCAGTCACCAGGGAGAGGAGCTGCTGCAGCCCCAGGTCGGGCGTGAGCCGGCCCAGCCCTGCTCAGCCCAGACACTTGATGGAGGTGCCCGGACTGGCAAGCAGTCCAGGTGGGGCCTCGTGCAGACCAGAGCAGGCTGGGCGGAGGGCACGGGGCCTCCTCCTGTCTGGCTCTGGAAGCCTTGCGGGTGAGGGGTGACCCAAGACGACGTGAGGGCCGCCATAGCAGGACCTGTCCCAGCACCTTGTCTGCCCTCGGGAGGCCCGGGGCACAGCCCTTCTGGAAGGCAGAGAGCGGGTTTTGACCAAGCTGGACCTTGCCCAGCAGCTGTGCTCCGTATGCATCCCTGCCCAGGAAGCTCCCCAGACCTGCCCGTGAATGCACAGCAGCGGGTTCCGGAATGGCCAGAGGGGGCCGCCGCACGCCGTGGCCTGTGCGGAGGCCTGGAGGGACCTGGGTGCATGGTACTCAGAGAAGCCTGAGCAGGACAAGGGCCGTGTGGAGGGCTTCCGTTCACAGGACATTCTGGAAAAGACGAAATTGAATGGCGAAGAGATTGTCAGCTGCCAGGGGTCCCTGGTGGGGGTGAAGAGAGGGTGGAGTGGGTGAGCTTTTAGGGCAGAGCCTATTCCAAGCGACCCGGGACGGGGTGCTCGTCCCTCTGCACCTACCGAGATGTGCAGGACTTCACAGAAGGAGCCCATGGTGTGTATGACTGCTCAGGGTGGGGGGCCATCAGGCAGTGCAGGCTGGGACACATAGCCAAAGCAGGAAGTCCCCTGGAGGCCAGGGACCGAGTGGAGGCAGTGGAGGGGCCCTGTGTGCTTGTTGGCAAGTGCTTCCCTGAGCGCCAGTCCGATACTGCCGTCTGCCCGTGTAGACTGGTTGCTGCGATGCAGGTGGTGGGATTCAGGCCTCTTGCTGGTGGCGAGTGAGGTGACCCTGACCCTAACACTAACCCAAGCCTAAGCCCCACCCCAGCCCTGCTCCATGTTCGATGCGGAGAGTGGGGCTTACAGATGTGCACCCGGGCACCGGTTGGGGCTGTGCCTCCCGGGAGCCTCGAACGCCCAGCACCCCGACCTTGGTTTCTGACGCCCTCTCCGGAATGGCGCCAGAGCCCTGGGGCCACGGCTGGTCCTTGGACTGACGTCTAGAGCAGCCCGCGGCCTCAGGAAATGAGGGGAAAGTGCCGGGAGGGTAGGGCAGAGGGGCAGAGCTAGGAGCTCCCACGTCCAGCAAGAATAAACGCCGCGGCCGGGGCTGACTCGGTAAAACACGAGGCTGCGAGTCCGTAGTCCCATGGCTGGACAGACACACAGCCGGGAGCAGCCACGCCAGGGTGCATCTCCCAAGTAACCTCGCGGACACTCGGCCCTGGGGGAGCCTGGCGAGACTCAGTAGTTCCCGCGGTAGGCTGACCCATGGGGAGTGCCGGCCCAGCCCAGGGCGTGGGTGCACGGAAGCCCCGTGCTGGCCTGTCGATCGGTGAGTCTAAACCGATTCTGAAGTGACGGCATTTATTTAAGGTGCGACGGTAGGTGAGTCGCACGCTGCTGGCCGAGTGCACCCGGAAACCAGCCTGCTGCAGAGACCCGCGAGGCGGGCCGGCCTGGGGGGGCCTTGGCTTCTCCAGACAGATTCCTCCCTAGCCAAGGGGGCGAGAGGCTGAGGGAGCCAGGTGGGCACTGAGGATTTGGGGTGCTGCCTGCCCCTCTCCTGTGCT